TCCCTCCCCAACAGGCACGCCCCCACTTCCTCCCCACCACAGGACCCCAGCTTCCTCTTCACCACAGGCAGGGCCCCCACTTCCTCCACAACAGGCACGCCCCCGCTCCTCCCCACACAGGACCCCCACTCCCTCCCCACCACAGGACGCCCCACTCCCCTCTCCACCACAGTGCAGGGCCCCCACTTCCTCCCACCACAGGACCCACTTCCTCCTCCACAAGGCCAGGGCCCCACTCCGCGCTCCCCGGCACACGAGGACCCCACTTCCTCCCACCACAGGCACGGCCCCCGCTCCCTCCCACAACAGGACCCCCGACTCCCTCCTCACCCAGAGGGCAGGCCCCACTTCTCCACCACAGGACCCCACTTCCTCTCACCCACAGGCAGGGCCCCCACTCCCTCCCCCACCCACACGGACCCCACTTACCTCCCCACCACAGGGCAGGGCCCCCACTTCTCCACCACAAGACGGCCGCTCCCCTCCCCACCACAGGACCCCCACTCCCCCCACAGGCAGGGCCCCCACTTCCTCCCCCACACAGGACCCCACTTCCTCCCCACCACAGGCAGGGGTCCCCACTTCCTCCCACCACAGCACGGCCTCCGCTCCCTTCCCCCAACAGGACCCCCACTCCCTCCCACCCACAGGACCCCACTCCCTGTCCCCACCCACAGGACGGCCTCCCCACTTCCTCCCCACCACAGGGGACCCCACTTCCTCACCCACCACAGGTAGGCCCCCACATTCCTCCCCACCCACAGGCAGGGCCTCCACTCCCCTCCCCACCACAGGGACCCCACTCCCTCCCCACCACAGGCACGGGCCCCCAGCTTTCTCCCACCACAGGGACCCCACTTCCTCTCCAACCACAGGCAGGGCCCCCACTTCCTCCCCACCACAGGCAGGACCCCCACACCCTCCCCACGCACAGGTACCCCCACTCCCTCCCGCACACCATAGAAAGGCCCTCTCGGCGCGGACCCCCACTCCCTCCCACCACAGGGCAGGGCCCCCGCACTCCCTCCCCACCACAGGCAGGGCCCCCACTCCCTCCCCACCATAGCAGGGGCCCCTTCTCGCCCTGGACCCCACTACCTCCCCACCACAGGCAGGGCCCTTGGTGCCCAGGAACGGGGGACCCAGGCACAGTGTCCCCCACATGCACATGGGCCACCGGTCCATGCCTCCTGCTCCTCAGGGAAGAGGAGGCTCTGGCCGCAGAACACTGCGGTGGTATCTAGGCTGCCAGGCACAGGAATCACTGGGGGAGTGGGTGGGAGACGTGGGTGGGGAAGACCTGTACCCCTACTCACCCTAGGAATGGGAGGAGAACCCCTCTTCCTTGGAAGAGACTCACACTTGGTGTGGAGCCTGGCTCAGTGACTGGGGTCCCCCCATCTTTCCCCTGGAGCTGTGTGGCAGTGGAAGAGTTGAGCTCCTGCAGTTCACCGCGCCTCCTCCACTTCCCCAAATCAGGCTGCTTCCCAGAGCAGATTATTCAGGCTCGCTTAGATTGCCAAAGCCAAGCATCTGAGTCAGCCAGGCACTTTAATTTTTTTATAGATTAAAATGTATGCAAATTGGCCTGAAGCGCCCAAGAGATCCCCAAGGGGCAAGAGGGTAGGCGCAGGGAGTGAGTTTGTGGTAAACAGATGGTGGGGGGAAGGAGCAGGGGGGGGCCCCAAGAAGGGAGGGCAACAGGGAGGAGCGGGGAGCGAGGAGGTGGCAACACGAGGGACGGCAACAAACAGGAGAGGCAGGGAGCAGCGCGAAGGGAGCCAGGAGGGGGCAGGAGGGATGGGCAGCAGGGAGGGGATGGAGCAGGAGGGGAAGGGAACCAGGAGGGAAGGGGCACAGAGGGGGAGGAAGCATGAGGTGAGGCAGAGGAGATAGAGGACCTTTGCGTGTATGTGCGTGCTCAGTGCTCTGGGTGGGTGAGTCAGGGCAGGGGGCATCTGTGTTTTGACCCCATGTGTGCCGGACTGAGGGTTGGGGTCCCTCCTGCAGCCTGAGCCTGGGCAGAGGAATGAGGGTCCTCGTGCAGCAACAGTTCCAGGAGCGGTTGCCAGGCTGGGGGAGGTGGCAGCTGTGCCCCTCCTACTCTTTGTTGGCAGAAGTGGCAGCTGCCAACCCAAGGAACTGGAGAAGTAGGGAGAGAGGAGCTGGGCCCTGAGACACCCTCCCAGCATTGGGTCTCTCCCACCCCACTCCCTGTGTCCCTGTCCCACTGTCCGCCCCCTCCACAGGTTCACGGAGGCTGAAGTGATGGTGATGGGTGACGTGACCTATGGGGCTTGCTGTGTGGATGACTTCACGGCGAGGGCCCTGGGAGCTGACTTCTTGGTGCACTACGGCCACAGTTGCCTGGGTATGGCGGGGCCAGGACACCTGGACAGTGGCGGGGCTGGCAGGGGGGCAGGCTGCACACTCATCTTCCCCACGGCAGTGGCTCCTTGTCCTGCTTGGAGACACGAGGTCCCTCCTGGTTGCTGGGGTGGCCTCTGCCTGCCTGCTCTGCAGGTACATCTTTCCTTTGGATTTGGTTGCCTTGGCAACTGTGCTCTGTCCCAGATGCGGGTGTTTGAAAGACTGCTGGTCGTAGAGCAGGCCAGGCCCTGGCCGGGTGACAGAGAAGTCCGATTGAGAAGGAGCTTCTAGGGGACCCGTGACCCCCTCTTCTCCTACCCTGCCCTTTTACCCCCAGGCTGAAGCCACTGGGCCTGGTTGCTCAGAGACCTGAGCCTGGGCCGGGCCCTCTGCTGCTCCTGCCTCCCAAACAGCCCCTGAACTCCTCCCTCCCGCAGTTCCCATGGACACCTCGGCCCAAGACTTCCGGGTGCTGTACGTCTTTGTGGACATCCGGATAGACACTACCCACCTCCTGGACTCTCTCCGCCTCACCTTTCCCCCAGCCACTGCCCTTGCCCTGGTCAGCACCATTCAGTTTGTGTCGACCTTGCAGGTGAGTGGAACGAGGGTCCTCGGCCTCCCGCAGGGTGGACAGCAGCCGCCCTCTGGGTGTTGCTGGATCCCAGGTGCTCCAGGCTGTTTCTCAGCCCTGGCTCTCCTGCCCCGGCTCTCCTGCCCCAGCCACTGGCTTCCCTTCCCTCGTCATTCCTACAGGCAGCCGCCCAGGAGCTGAAAGCTGAGTACCGTGTGAGTGTCCCACAGTGCAAGCCCCTGTCCCCTGGAGAGATTCTGGGCTGCACATCCCCCCGACTGCCCGAAGAGGTGGAGGCCGTTGTGTAAGTTAAAAATGGGGGCCAAGTACGTCCTAGAGACACGAGTGTATCCTGGGAGGGAGCCTGAGGTTCATCATCCAGGAAAGAAACCAAATCTAATGTTCCATACCTGCCCAAGGTCACACTGCAAGGTGGGGACCAAACAGGGACCAGACTTCAGGTTTACTGTCGCTTTCTCCATTGCCCAGTCCACCACCCAGAAGGCTGTGCAGGGTGGGGGCAGGAGTCAGAGGGGCTGATGCGGGGGATGAGGGTGGGCTGGAAATGGTGGGAATATAATTGGAGAAGATGGATGGGCACGCCCAGGCTGCAGCCCCATTAATTTACCATCCGGACAGCTAACAAGCAGAAGCAGTGTGTCTCCTGCCGCCTAATTATTTTAGGTAATGGAAATGCTTAATGTTGTGTGAATGCAGCCAGCCTGAGAGCCGACAGCTCCCCCGGCTGGGACCAGGGAAGGGAGCCCCGTTCCTTACTAATGTCTGGGAGGGAGGGGCACTCCCTGGCTCAGTCCCACCTCTGGGACTTCAGAGGCTGTTCCCACAGGCCTGACACCCCTGCCCCTAGACAGGTCCACATCAGGGCCTTCCCCAGCCCAGACAGCCCTGCTCCCTGAGCTGCATTCCCCTTGTGCCCGCACCACTCGGTTTCTACCCTTGGGGGCTTCAAAGTGTATATTGGAGGGAGGGACACCCTGAGTGTTAGCCATTCATCAGAATGAAGTGTGGTCTCCAAGAGGGAGAGGAGGAGCTGCCACAGGCAGGTTATCTTCCACACTCTGGAGTCTGCAGGGCTGGGAAGCTACTGTCAGGGACAGCATGTCTGTGGGCACACTTGGTACAGCCTGGGGTTGAGCTTCAGATACACTGCTTCCTAGCTGTTTAATATTAGGCAAGTTTCTTAACATCCCTGAGCCTCAGTTGTATCTTCTGTAAAATAGGTATACTATACGTATCTTGGAGGATGAGTAGATAGGACTGCGTGAACTAATTCACTTCAGGTACTTAGTCTGTGCCTGGTACATAGAAGGCACAAGTCCAATAAACAGTAGCTGTTGGCCGGGTGCGGTGGCTCACGCCTGTAATCCCAACACTTTGGGAGGCCAAGGCAGGAGAATTGCATATGTCCAGGAGTCTGAGACCAGCCTGGGCAACATAATGAAACCCTGTTCTCTCCAAAAAAAAAAAGAGAAAGGAAAAGGAAAGAAGAAAAATTGGCTGGGTATGGTGTCCATGCCTGTAGTCCCAGCTCCTCAGGAGGCTTAGGTGAGAGGATCGCTTGAGCCTGGGAGGTCAAGGCTGCAGTGAGCCGTGATTGAATCACTCAGCCTGGATGACAGAGTAAGACCCTGTCTGAAAAAAACAACACCACCAAAATGAAAATGAGGTAGCTATTGTTGTAACTCAGTAACTGGGCCCAAGAGCTAGTTTGGGCAGAAAGTAGCCGTTGTATGCCCTGCGACCTCATGTACAGCATCGATCAGAGGTCCCCAACCCTGGTCCCATGGCCTGTTAGGAACCCTGCCGCACAGTGGAAGGTGAGGGGTGGGCCAGCCAGCATGACCGCCTGAGCGCCACTCCTGTCAGATCCACCGCGGCATGAGATTCTCGTAGCTCAAACCCTGCCGTGACCTGTGTATGTGAGGGATCTAGGCTGCATGATCCTTCTGAGATTCTAATGCCTGATGATCTGAGGTGGGACAGTTTCATCCTGAAACCATCCCCCACTCCCACCCGTGTCTGTGAAAAACTGTCTTCCACAGTGCCAGAAATGTTGGTTACTTGAACACTACTGTCCACATCTGTATGGAGCTTGTAAAGGATAATCTGTTCCCCAACTTCCAAATGAGGATCTCTAGAACCCCAGGTGGCCTCACCATGGCCGGGCTGCTCCTTCACTCTTCCCCAGAAGCTTGGGGTGGGACAGTTCTTAGATTCTGCATTATGTAAATAGAGTTATCCAGTTCAAACTCCTTATCTCACATGTGAGAAAACCAAGGCTCCAAGAGGTGAAATGATGGCTTGTCCCAGTTCACGCAGAGTCACAGCACAGCCAGCCGGGAACTCAGTCCTCTGGACTTTTTTTTTTGAGACAGAGTCTCGCTCTGTTCCCCAGACTGGAGTGCAGTGGTACGATCTCGGCTCACTGCAGCCTCCGCCTCCCGGGTTCAAGTGATTCTTCTGCCTCAGCCTCCCCAGTAGCTGGGACTACAGATGCGTGCCACCATGCCCAGCTAAGTTTTTTGTATTTTTAGTAGAGACGGGGTTTCACCTTGCTAGCCAGGATGGTCTTGATCTCCTGACCTCATGATCTGCCCACCTCGGCCTCCCAAAGTGCTGGGATTACAGGCGTGCGCCACCGTGCCCCGCCAGCCCTGTGGACTTCTAAGCCAGCGAGTGCCTCTTCTGCTGCCCCAAACCACACTCACAGCCTCCTTTCCACCCCTGCAGGTATCTTGGAGATGGCCGCTTCCATCTGGAGTCTGTCATGATTGCCAACCCCAATGTCCCCGCTTACCGGTATGAGCTGGGCTGGGCTGGGCTGACCAGCTGGTGTGGGGTGAGACCCCCGCCACCAAGGCCCTCAATGGGTTGCATCCCCATTTCCTGGCCACTGAGCCACCAGCCCTAAGGGTCTCCGGCACTCGGGCCCTGGATCTGGGCATTAGCTCCAGGGCTGCTGTTGCCTACCCGTCTCCTGGGGTTTCCACTGAGATCCTAAAGCCACCGTCTCTTGTGTCTGCTCCAGCTGTGGGACAGGTCTTCCTAATGACAATCCCCGCTATTGCCTCTGTTTCTAATTACCTGCGTGGGGCCTAAAGGTTCAAGAGCCCACGGGGCTGAGTCAGGAGCTGTGTGCACAGTCGTAGTCCCCACAGTGGCTGCACTGTGACCCTGACTGCTGCTTTTCCAGGTATGACCCGTACAGCAAAGTCCTGTCCAGAGAGCACTATGACCACCAGCGCATGCAGGCTGCTCGCCAGGAAGCCATAGCCACCGCCCGGTCCGCTAAGTCCTGGGGCCTTATTCTGGGCACTCTGGGCCGCCAGGGCAGTCCTAAGATCCTGGAGGTCAGTGGGTCAGGACAGCCTCTGGAGGAGGGCAGTGGCTGGGAACACAGCTGGGAAAACCTGTAGGCCACAGGTTCACCTTTGGCTGCTTGACCAGGTGACCCCCACCCTGTCTCCCTCTCCCAACAGCACCTGGAATCTCGACTCCGAGCCTTGGGCCTTTCCTTTGTGAGGCTGCTGCTCTCTGAGATCTTCCCCAGCAAGCTTGGCCTACTTCCCGAGGTGGATGTGTGAGTTCCCCCACCTTACCTGCTTGGCTATGATCGGCTAAAGAGGCTTAGAAGCTGGGTCTTGCCCATCTCGTCTTAAAGGCTGGAGCCAACAGGAATTGCTTCCATGGCCATGGAATTTTAATGTTTACAGAGACCTCCCTGGGAGGGCTAACTGGGTCATCCCTGCTTTGGGACTCTGGGGCTCAGAGGCAATGGCACCATCCCATTTGTCCTTGTGAGATGCGTTTGAGTGGTGGCTGACACCTGCCCTGTACCAGGTACTAAATTTGGTTCTGGGGGTACTATCACCAGTGAGCTGCCCTGGAAAGCTCATTGTCGGCAGAGGAAACAGGAGAAAACACGCAACAACACGGTATTCCAAACAGCAGTGGGTCACTGTCTTTACTTTAGGATTCATAAAGCCTGTTAATGAATGGGTGTGCTGGGGCGCTGTCATGGTCTTCAGCATGCTTTTGGCAGAGGAGGCCCTTCCTAGGGTCTGACCTGGCTTCCCTTTCCAGGTGGGTGCAGGTGGCATGTCCACGTCTCTCCATTGACTGGGGCACAGCCTTCCCCAAGCCGCTGCTGACACCCTATGAGGTAACACCGAGCTCTGGGAGAGAGCGGGCTTTAGACGTGGTTCTAAAGGCGAGGTCTGCAGTGGAGTGCTGTGGGTGGGCAGCATTTCGCTATGTTCATAGATTCCGGAGTCTGACTGTCTCGATTTCTCCAACGGAGTCACCTCCTAGCTGTGTAGCCTTAGGCAAGGCCCTGAACCTCTCTGAACCACACATTTCCCTTCTGTGGTGGGGGACAGTGTGCCCTTCACAGGCCGTGGTGAGGACTGAATTCAGTAATCCAGGAGCAGAAAAACACTGGCGAATGCTATTGTCCGCTCCCCTCCCCTAGGCGGCCGTGGCTCTGAGGGACATTTCCTGGCAGCAGCCCTACCCGATGGACTTCTACGCTGGCAGCTCCTTGGGGCCCTGGACGGTGAACCACGGCCTGGACCGGCGTCCCCAGACCCCGGGCCGGCCCGCGCGGGGGAAGGTAGGCGGGGGCTGCCCGGAGGGAGGAGAGACCGCGCCTGGGCACTGGCCGCCTCCCTGGCGACACGAGCCGAGGCTGCCGCCCTGCGACCGCGACGGGAAATGCACAGGAGCGGAGGGAAATGCAGGGTCGCAGAAACGAGACCCTGACCAAAGTCTGCAACCTCAGGTGCAGGAGGGGTCCACGCATCCCCCTTCAGCCGTGGCTTGCGAGGACTGCAGCTGCAGAGACAAGAAGGTGGCGCCGCTTGCTCCTTGACAAGCTCCGGGGCCTCAGGTATCCGCCCTTGCTCTGGCTGCGCCCCGCCCTTTGCCGTTGTCATGGGAACGCCTTGGCGCTCCCAGGCCCGCCTTCGGGGTGTTGCGGACTATTGGCTCCGCCCTTTGCATTCTACTTCCGGTCGGGGAAAGACCGCTTCCGGTGCTTCCGTCGCTTCCGTCGCTCCTTGCCGGTCATAATGGCCGCGCAGCGACCCTTGCGGGTCCTGTGCCTGGCGGGCTTCCGGCAGAGCGAGCGGGGCTTCCGCGAGAAGACCGGGGCGCTGAGGAAGGCGCTGCGGGCCCGCGCCGAGCTCGTGTGCCTCAGCGGCCCGCACCCGGTCCCCGACGCCCCGGGCCCCGAGGGCGCCAGATCAGACTTCGGTGAGACAAGCCCTGCTCCGGAAATACACTCAGTTTTCTCCCTCGTTTCGTCCCCTCGACACCCCTCAGCATCCCCCACCCTGCGTCCACCCTCATTCCTCCCACCCAGTCCACACCCTTCGTTTCTCGCGGCCCATACTCTCTTGCTCAAACTGCAGCCTGTCCTCCCAGGCTGCCGCCTTCGTCGTCTTCCTGCGCTGTCTCCTGTTCAGGCCAATCCATTCCCCGCCTCTCATTTCCCCCAGACTTTCGCCTCGATTCCCTCTTTTCCTGTCATCTGGAACCCTCCCGCCCTTTCTCATTTCTTTCCTTCCTGGAGCCTCCCATGCCCTAATCCCATCCTCTTTCCCCATACCGCTGTAGGGTCCTGCCCTCCAGAGGAGCAGCCTCGAGGCTGGTGGTTTTCAGAGCAGGAGGCGGACGTTTTCTCCGCATTGGAAGAGCCCGCCGTATGCAGGGGCCTGGCGGAATCCCTGGGGATGGTGGCGCAGGCACTCAGCAGGCTGGGGCCTTTTGACGGCCTTCTTGGTTTCAGCCAGGGGGCTGCGCTAGCAGCCTTTATATGTGCCCTGGGCCAGGCAGGCGATCCCCGCTTCCCCTTGCCACGGTTTATCATCTTGGTATCTGGTTTCTGTCCCCGGGGCCTTGGGTTCAAGGAATCCATCCTGCAAAGGCCCTTGTCATTGCCTTCACTCCATGTTTTCGGGGACACTGACAAAGTCATCCCCTCTCAGGAGAGTATGCAATTGGCCAGCCGATTCCCCGGAGCCATCACCCTCACCCACTCTGGTGGCCACTTCATTCCAGCAGCTGCAGCCCAGCGTCAGGCCTACCTCAAGTTCTTGGACCAGTTTGCAGAGTGAAAGATCAAGAAATGTCTCTGCTCCTACATCCAGCCCCTCTTGGGGTAGCCTCCATCATCTGTGCCCTCCCAGGGCCCTCCACTGCTGTGAGTGCGCCTCACCAGGACCAGTTAAGAGACAACTATCAATTCTTGAGACCCAAATTATATGGACCCTGCCTTGTATTGAAGAAAAGGGGAGCACAAGGCCTTAATGGACATTGACTTGTGAAACTCAAACATGAAAATGATTGGAGAGCCCTGGATTAGGAGGGTGACATGGGGAAGACAGAGGCTGGCACCACGGTGACTGCCACATAATAAAGTGGTGATTTGGATTTTGAGCATCTTTTTCCTGGTACACACACAAAAAATTTTATAATGGAAGTCGGTTTCTTGGCCATCTACATGGTCTTCTGGGCAGCACCGAGCAGGGAGATGTTTCCAGTTGTGAGTCCCAGGACAAGCTCCTGCATGGGGGCACATACTCACACGTTATTGGTGGAAGTTTGAAGGCCCAAACTGAAGGGAAGGAGGCCTCGGTGGCACAATCAGGGAGGAATATACATCTGAGAAGTTTTGGGAAGACATCACCTGGCAAGGCTGCCTGAACCACAGTAATTTAGTCTTCTCTATCCAGATCCCCGAGAGCTGTGTGCTGGTCTTCTCTCAAAACCTGGCTGTGTTCCCCGCTTCTCCCTAAGTGCTCTAACCTCGCTGAACTATGAGCTTGAAGGGTGGTTGATGCCAGACCTTGGGTGGAGGCCAGAGACAGTACAGAACAAACAGCCTCTTCCTAAATTGATCCCATCTTCAGGGTTTCTGAGATTGATGCCATTCTTTAGTGACTACAGCCAAGGCCTAAGCAATCCAGCTGGTTTTCTCTTTGGGGAGTGTTAGTACGTTGGTTAATGGATTACTTTGAGGATTGTTCAGTCTTTCTTTCTTTTTTTTTTTTTTTGAGACAGGCTCACTCTGTCATCCAGGCTGGGGACAGTAGCCAAGATCCTGGGCTCACTGCAATCTCGACCTCCTGGGTTCACCGCAATTCTGTCTCAGCCTGCCTGAGTAGCTGGCATTACAGGCATGCGCCACCAATGCCTGGCTAATTTCTATATTTTTTTGTAAGAGAGAAGGTTTTGGCCATGGTTGCCCAGAGCTGGTCTCAAAACTCTTTAGCTTCAAAAGCAATCCAATCCCTGCCCTCAGCTCTCCAAAGTGCTCAGATATTATATAGCGCCTCGTCAGCCACTACACCTACTAGGATTGCCCACTCTTTCTTCTTCCTTACTGTTTAAAGACAGGTCTTGGGCCCGAGGTGTGGTGGGGCTCATGCCTGTAATCCCAGCCACTCCTTGGGCAGGCCGAGGCGGCGCGGATCACAAGGTCAGCGCGAGAATCCGAGACCATCCTGGCCTACACGTGGTGAAACCCCCGTCTCTACCAAAAACTACCAAAAAAATTAGCCGGGCGTCCGGTGGATGGGTACCTGTAGTCCCCAGCTTCATTCAGGGAGGCTGAGGCACGCGAGATTCGCTCCGAACCCAGGAGGCAGAGCTTGGCAGTCGAGGCCAAGATTTGTGCCATTGCACCTCAGTGGTGAGCAGAGAACAGACTCACCGTCATTCAAAATAAATAAATAAAAGACAAGGTCTGACTCTGTTACCCAGGCTGGAGTGCAGTGGCACAGTCTTGATGGCCTCCGCCTCCTGGGCTCAAGCCATCCATCCTTCCACCTCAGCCTCCCAAGTAGCTGGGGCTGCAGGTGCACATCACCATGCCCGGCTAATTTTTGTATTTTTTGTAGAGAAGGGTTTCACCATCTTGTGTGTGATGGTCTCCAACTTGTGAGCTCAAGCAATCCACCTGTCCTGGCCTCTCAAAGTGCTGGAATTAGAGGCATGAGCCACCTCACCTGGCCAATTGCCCACTCTTCACGATTTGCCTCCCATGTCCAGTGCCACCTGACAGCCCACCCCCACCCCACACACACTGTGTTTTCTGACTTCTGCCTCTGCAAGACAAGAAGCCTGTTCTTTTTCTGGATGATCACACCAACTCCTGTTTAGCCCTCAGGCATAGTTGCCAGGGAGCTAAGCAACTGAGCGGCAATTGTGGTCAGGGACACAGTACAAATACTCCAGCCCATTTTTCTGACAACCAGACCGACATCCCTTAGGTTACCGAAAGTTCCAGGTTCCTCACTACAGAGAGTAGTAGCTGTCCAAAATTAAAAAGAAAACAAAAAAACAGAAACAGGAATTATCCACCCAGAGACCCAGTTACTGGGTGTGGCAAGTGTGTGTGGGGAGGGGTGGGAGGGGGTTCTCCCTTGCTTCCGCTGGCTTCTGCCTTTGCTGTTTTAAGGAATCTTCTCCTCCAGCAAAAGGAGGAGACTTTGGAATTGATTGATTACATGGATTGTGGTATCTGACCCATTGAATTTTAGAAAAACTTCTGATTTAAAGTTTCAGAAACCGCACAGAAAAATTCAGATTTCTGGCTTCTCTGGAAATGATAGATTTGCAGTTCAGGGCTCCCATATCCTCATGGCAATCATAGGCTGCCCCCTTGAGCACAGTCCCAAGAGGTGAAAATGACTTGCATGCCCCAGCTGCTTGGGATGATTGAGGATGAAAGTAGAGAGGGGGAGAAATATTGGGGAGTGAATTTTAAGCCAAGGCTTAACATTAGAAGTGGGGTGGGTACAGCCCAGCAGTAGCAGGTGGAGCAGAAGGGCTCCTGGTCGGGGTGAGGATTCCTCCTGAGAACTATACTGTCCAAGCTAGAGGGAAACATGGGATCCACTAGTTCTCAACAAGTGGAACAGGTCACTTCCCATCATGCTGTCCAGGAGCAAGAGAGACTCTTAGGGGGTTGTGCCCTCTCCCCACCCTCAATGCGCAGAGTCTGTGTACCATTTACATTCAGATCATTTGTTAAAACCTGAATTCTGGCCCTGCGCGGTGGTTCATGCCTGTCATGCCAGCACTCTGGGAGGCCGAGGCGGGCGGATCACCTGAAGTCGGGAGTTTGAGGCCAGCCAGATCAACAGAGAAAAACTCTGTCTCTGCTAAAAATACAAAATTAGCTGGGCATGGTGGCGCATACCTGTAATCCCAGCTACTCGGGAGGCTGAGGCAGGAGAATCGCTTGAACCTGGGAGGCAAAGGTTGCGGTAAGCCAAGATTGTGCTGTTGCACTCCAGCCTGGGCAACAAGAGCAAAACTCCGTCTCAAAATAATAATAATAATAAGTAGCTGGGTGTGGTGGCATGCACCTGTAATCCTAGCTACTTGGGAGGCTGAGGTGGGAGAATCGCTTGAACCTGGGAGGTGGAGGTTGCAGTGAGCTGAAATTGTGCCACTGCATTCCAGCTTGGGTGGCAGAGTGAGACTCCGTCTCAAAAAAACAAACCAACCAACTTGAATTATGGGGCCAACTCCAGATGTACTGAGTCAGAATCACTGGGACCCAGGAATCTGTATTTTGGCAAATTGCCCCCATCATTCCCAAGCAGGGTATTTGAAAAACCACTGCCTTAGGGGTTGAAGAAAGGTCTCTGCTGAGGGTGTGTTATTTGAAAAAACCCCTAGTGTGACTCTCATGCAACCCACCAGGGAGGGGAGCAAGCTCCCCAGAAGAATCACTGGTTAAACATTTTCAATTTATAGCAAAGGAAAATTAGGTCCGAAGGATAGAAATAGGAATAGCATTCATTCACTCATTCATTCGTTCAGAGACGGAGTCTCGCTCTGTCACCCAGGCTGGAGTGCAGTGGTACAGTCTCCGCTCTCTGCGACCTCCACCTCCCGAGTTCGAGTGATTCTCCTGCCTCATCCTCCTGAGTAGCTGGGACTACAGGTGTGCATCACCACTCCCAGCTAATTTTTGCATTTTTAGTAGAGACAGGGTTTCGCCATGTTAGCCAGGCTGGTCTCGAACCCCTGATCTCAAGTGATCTCACCTCAGCCTCCCAAAGTGTTGGGATTACAGGCATGAGCCACTGCGCCCGGCCAGAATAGCATTTATTGAGTACTAACTGTACAGCAGACATTGTAATAAGCAAACGCTTTAATGTTGCCTAATTTAGGGCCAGGTGCAATTACTCATGCCTGTAATCCCAGCACTTTGGGAGGCTGAGGCATGAGGATCAGTTGAGCCCAGGAGTTCTAGACCAGCCTTGGCAACACAGTAAGACTCCCTCTCTACAAATAATTTAAAAGTTAGCTGGGTGTGGTGGCATGCACCTTTGGTCCCAGCTACTCGGGAGGCTCAGGTGGGAGGATCACTTGAGCCCAGGAGTTTGAGGCTGCAGTAAGCTGTGATTGTGCCACTGTATTCCAGCCTGGGAGACAGAGCTAGATAGACCCTGTCTCCAAAAGAAAAAAAAAAAAAAAAAACCTACAAAAATTGGCTGTGGGTGGTGGCACACACCTGTAGTCCTAACTACTCAGGATGCTGAGACAGAGAATTGCTTGAACCTGGGAGGGGGAGGTTGCAGTGAGCCAGGATCATGCCACTGCACTTCAGCCTGGGCGACAGAGCAAGACTATGTCTCAGAAAAAAAATAAATAAAATTATATATATATACACACACACATATATATATAAAACACATATGTTATACATATTAGGAGATATATATATATATATAGCTTAAACCTCACAACTTCATGTTTAATCTCACAACTTCACGAGGTAGGTACCATTAGTATTGTTATTTGAGACGGAGTGTCACTCAGCCACCCAGGCTGGAGTTCAGTGGTGCGATCTCGGCTCACTGCAACCTCCGCTTCCCAGGTTCAAGTGATTCTAGTGCCTCAGCCTCCTGAGTAGCTGGAATGACTGGCAAACACCACCATGGCTGGCTAATTTTTTGTGTTTTTAATAGAGACAGAGTTTGACTATGTTGGCCAGGCTGGATTATTATTATTAAGACAGGGTCTACCTCTGTCACCGGGTGCAGGATCATGGCCCACTGCAGCCTCAACCTCCCAGCCTCAAGCAATCCTCCCACCTCAACTTCCCAAGTAGCTGGGACTACAGGTGTGCAAAACTAATTTTCTTTTTTTTTCTTCTTTATTTCTTTTTTGTAGAGATAGGGGTTGCATTGTATTGCCCAGGCTCGTCTCGAACTCCTGGGCTCAAGTAATCCTCCCACCTCTGCCTCCCAAAGTGCTGGGATTACAGGCCTGAGCCACCATGCCCGGCCCCTAAATGATTTCTAAGATGCTAAACAACCCTGACATTGTACGGTCAATCCTCTGGTTCTTTCCCCTCTGACCACACTCTGACCTCTTCTCAGAACATCCCAACCATTTCTCTTTTCTACCTC